ATATAAAACAATTCATATTATACATTACCATTTCGCACATTAATTACATTTCATATAAAGCAATCCAAGCATCTTAAACATGCAAAGACCTATATTGGACCATCCAGATTTAGTATGAATGCCGAGTTATGGCGAGTTGTGCACTTATGATGGTCTCTACTGTTTTGCAAAGTTATTGCCAACAAGTTTCACTCTACCACACTCACAAAGTTAGTTTGTAAAGCGTCTTAGGTCATACTGAAAGCACCTAAACTGAGACCTCCTACTCTCAGCACATGTATCAAACCTCTCTACTTGAGAATTAATGATTATTACAGTTTTGGGATAAGCCCCAAGACTAAGCTCCTCATTCCATTCATACCAACAACACTTTTATATAACACTTAAGAATCTTCCTTAGGACTCTTATACATCTCATTCCATTCAAACATGTATTCTAAACATTATCACATAGCACAACAATTTATTTTAACTTTTAGAATCATCACATAAAATAAAGGATTCAAAAACACTTAAGAACACAAGCTCACTTGTCCAACTAAAAGTCTTTGCTCGCCTAACGAGAGACAAAACAACAACCCTCCCAAGCTTGCTTAGCCTTTGCAACCCTCTGCCAAAAAACCCCAAATCTTCTTAATTAAAAGCCTGTACAAGATTCAAATGACCATAAGACAATCCCAAAAACTTAGTTTTTCTCATTTGACTATTACTTCAAAATCTTACTCATCAAAACCCTTTTTAGACCAAAATCGCCCATGACTCATCAAATCTATCCACCAGACCAATTGTATACCATCAACATTCTCACCAACAACCAATTGTATTCAATCTAAAACAGAATCATACCATACATTCAAGAATAATACCACCATTTTAACTCATCAAACACAATGAACAATGCACAAATATCTCAATAATAATTAAATCATCCTATTATACAAATAACCACAAATCATACTTTGGAAAAAAAAATTAAGCATAAACACTAATTTCCTTGCCTTACACCGAAACTACTTACCTCAGAAATTAGGGCTTAATGAAACCTAAAAAACCCTACACAACACACAATGAAGATTAGAAAGATTCCTTAGAACCATAATCAATAAGAAACTAGGAAAATTAACCAAAAAATACATGCAATGGAAATCACTATGCATGAATTCAACTTAAGAGGGGAAAACAAGAAGGAGTCGAAACTTACTTGTTCTACACTATTTAATGTTGCAGATTACCTAGTTGCGATCTCCTAAGAATTTTGTCAAACAAACGATGGAGGAGTCAGATATTTTAGAAAAAAAAAGTGAAAGAGAACTAAGAGGAAAAGTTTTAGAGATATAGCTTGTGTTTTAAATAATGAGATAATTTAAGAAATTTTATTTATATTAATAAATTATTTTAATTTAAAACACTCATGATTATTGTAAAATACCCATCAATTTTAATATTCTATTTTCTAAGTTATTATACAAAATATCATTATATTTTTTACAATAAAAAAACTTATGAAAAAACTTATAAAAAATAAAAACTAAAAATATATTTAAACTTAGAAAGTATATTTCTTTCCCGAAATTAAATTATATCTTTTACTTTTAAACCATTTACAAAAGTAATAATTAGTTAAAGTAATTTGGTGTGTTTTTGAATATTCGTTCTTGATTAAAAGTCTCATCGACATGCAATCGAGGTTAAATGAATAAATTTTCAGCATCTATATATTTAAATTTATAATATAGGGATTTCTTGGTATACACATTTTTATTTATTTATTCTCTTTAAATAACTTTATTTTTAATTAAAATAATTAATTTTCAAATTTTACCCAGCATTTTAGTATACACATTTTTTTTCTATGTTTATTCTTTATAAAAATATTATTCTAAATTAAAATAATTATTTTAGCAATTTTACACTGCTTTTTAAATTTGGTATATTTTTTACCATTTTAAAATTTAACCACTTTTTAAAATTAAAATAATTATTTATAATAAAATTGTAAAATTTATTTATATTTATTTTATAATTATAATAATAATAATTTTATTATTTTTTGTTGTTATAAAAATAATGAACATGTATTTTCACATATTAATTTATGTAAAAAATGATTTATGGATAATGTTTTCATCTCTAATTTGAGTCATTAAATAAGGAGGAGTCATTCTTTACTTTTGAGAAGTCCAAAACCTTTAACATTTGGCAATAAGCAATCATGTTAAATTGTTTGTCTTTAAATTGTTAAAGTGCAAAATAACAATTAACAAAGAATAAAGTATAAGAAAATATAAAGTATATTCTTTTCTGATAAAACTCAGTGTTACTGCTGCTGTTTTGATGCCTGCTACTGTTTAAAAAGGTACAGGTTTTGAGTATGGCAGCATGGACACATGCACGGTCAAGATATTATCTTCTTATAATTAATCATTGATTCAAAGAAAAAGTGAATACTTTCAGTGTTCCACAATGGTGGGAGAAGTTTGGTGTGATTTTATTTTGGAGGGTATAATTCGTATTTTTTAATGCGAAATACATATTTTACAATGATGTAATGTGAATTGTAAAATATATTTTAAATTTTTATTATGGATTATACTGAAAATTAAATTTATATAATTTAAAATATAAATTTACATTACAAATTATATAATCGAACATATAATTTATATTCTAGATTGTTTTCTAAATTTGCATGATAAATTATATAATATAAATTTATATTGTTGATTGTATAATCTAAAATATGGTTTATATTTTATATTATTTTTTAAATTTGTATTATAAATTATACAATATTAAATGTAAATTTGTATTATAAGTTATATGATTTAAATATATATTTACATTAGATATGAAATACAAATTTATATTTTAAATTATATAATTTAAAATATGTAAAATTAATATTTTTAATTTCTGGATTATGAAATCTAAAATATTTAAGAATGGTAGAATATGAAACTATAATTAAAATATGAAAAACAATTTGCACTATCTTTTTGGAATTTTAGAATGTACGAAGCGCAAGAAGAAAAATATAGGCCTGAAAAAAGAAATTTCCGTATTTTTATTATATTATATACCACAGACAAAGGAAGGCTAAAAACCTAATAAAATTAGAAGAAAATGGCTTATTGAACCAATTTTGTATAAAAGCCATTTTTGTTGGCGAACATAAATTCTACAATTTAAATAAATAAACTATAGTTTTTTTTATTATAAAATCTTCAAATTAATAATAACAATAATTTTCTTAAAAATTTATCATTGATAATAAATTTGTAAAATTTACTACTAAAATTATTATAATATCTGCTTTACATTATGTTTTTAATTAATAGCAATACTATTTTTCTAATATTTTGAATTTGATAATTTACAATTATTAATTTTATATAAACATAAATTTAATAAAAAAAAATTTAAAATATTATTTAAATTAATAATAATATTTTCATTAGTTCATTATTTTGAATAGAATAACCAAATTTTTATTTTATTATATAACATAGTAAAATTATTATGTTAATTTAAATTGATAATAATTATAATTTTAGTATACTTTTAAATTAATAACAAATTTATAATTTAAAAATAAAACTTTGGTATATATAAAAAAGACAATTTCTTCCTATAAATTTTTGTATTTCATATTGTATAATTGATAATGTAAATTTTGTATTTTAAAATATATAACTCAGAATGTATTATTGATTTTATATTTTAGAATATACAATGTTTGTATTTCAAATTATACCATTCAAAATACATTATTTTGTATTTCAAAAATACAGTATAATACGTACTTGATATTTTTTTTTATTGAACATTTCGAAGTATAAAAGTGATAAATGTGAAAAAGAGTTGTTTTTATACTTATAAATGAGCTCAATCTTATAATTATTCACGTTGTTCCTCATTGAAAAGTTGTAATAGGTAGTAGATTGTTATGTAAAATATTATGGTGTGTTATTTAGACTCTGTCAGCCAATTTTCGCAAAGCGAAAGCCAAAATTCGCACTGCCAGAAGAAGAAAATTCGCATAGCGATGAAATTAAGTGGCTTTAAAAGACGTGACAGAAAGACAGAAACATTCTCTACTAACAGAAGTTTCGGACAAAATAAAGAAACGAAAACATCTCAGGAACTTCCGGAGACTACTTCAAGGCATCAAGACACCATTGTTGCAAGGGATTGCTTCAAATGTGTACGTTTTAGATGACTAGGAGTAGTTAAATTTCTCTTTCGTTCGGATTGGATGTAATGAACTCATTGTGATTTAATTTTCCTGCTCAATATATAGTTGTTCGTTCATATGCTCTTTCTTGAATTTATTATCAATGTATGAAAATATAATGTTATTTGAATGTCTTTGATTACTGGAAAGTAACTTTGAACATGAACGTAGATAGAGCACTTAAGTGATTGGGATCTAGGATAGACTCAATAACTTGATCATTCTTAACATCAGACTTAATGCAAATTGTATGTTAAATTGACTAAGGGATTATCATTTTAATATATTAATTTAGAACTAGTTCCTAAGGGATTAGGACTAGTATGACTTGATCTGAATGTTTGAATGAAGTAATGAAATATTGAACAGAGTTTTATATTCATATGATTCATGAAACCCAATTCCAACGAAGTTTCTTTTAAATATAAATTCCTTGCACACAAACTGTTTGATAAAATTATGGAGATAAATTCATTGTATTACTTGGAACGATTTGGTATACTTGCCAAAAAGTTATCAAAAAGTTTTTGAGATGTCCCTTAAAATTATGGAGATAAAATAGAAATTAATTATAAAAAAAAACGTTAATGAAGTAATTGCTTAAATCACAATTTTTATTAGGCTGGTTACAAAATTGCATAACAACAAATAACATGTGAACTACAGTATATTTGAAGGATGAGATTTTCTTAAACTTAGTCAAATTATCTAAAAAAACAAAGTTTAGAATCATATCAGATAACAGATTCAATCCACATTTTAATAAGTTGTGAGAAATGAACTTTTCATATTACTTAAAATAGGAAGACAGTGATATGTTTATAACTGGAACATTAGAATCCAAATATCTACACTCATGAAAATTTTTATTTACCAAATGTTAACTTGTATTCCTGAATACTCATTCCGGAACTAAAAACAAAATATTAAACTATACAGTCGTTAAATAATTTTCACTGGACTTGAATTAAATTATGATTAATATTAGAACACTTGCATAAAACTAAGAAATTTTAGCAAGTCTTTTTACATCCTACAATGACTTGGTTAACCCTTGTGCATACACAATAACAACTTTTTCAAACTTATTTACCCAAATGATATCATTTCTTTAAGGAATTCAAAAGTTCCTTACAAACAATCTTCTTTGCTGTGTCCTTAAGTACAGCACCAATGTACTCATACTCATGAATAACCCCATCAGCTTCTACCTCCATTCTATAATTGGTCACACCTCCTTTGCGAGACACCACATCTTGTATAATTTTATAGCTTTTTTTCTGACAAACTTCATAAAACTCTCTGATTGGATGGAGCTTCAATGTTTCAGGTGTTACAAGGGGTTCCAAAAGTGGCTTGATGCTTTGCCACACAACCTCCTTATTATATCCTGAATCAACAAGAATGGCTCCAGCTAGAGCCTCTAAAATGTCTCCAAGTACCTACCAGATCATAGAAAAAATTTCATGAGTTTTTGCAATGATCAATACATTGTAGTTGATCATCTGAGTTAAGAGAAATGTGCTGCAAAACTCACAGAAAATATACACACATATTAAATCTATAAATTCTGCCAAAGAATTTAAATGACCCAATGACAGGAACAAAGTAGTAACATGTTTACACATGAACTATGGAAGACAACTTTTCCAGGGTCCATTAACATTGGAGAAACACAATAATTTGGTCAATTTTACTAGTAATAATTTAATTAATTAGTATAGTAATTATTTCTCCTTCGACAGTCCCAGCGACAAGGAAATGGTTCATGACATGGAGTACTGCATATAGTGAACTAATTTATATTTCATTTAGAGAAGGTCTTCCAAAATTGCAAGAAAATTGAAACATTGCTGCCCCTAAAACTAAGAAACCAATAGATATTCAAGCGACAACTTAAGAATGGAAAGCATGATGCGTCAAGTTACCCACTGATCCAACTTTTTCCCACACCCGTTCTCCAACAGTTTTTGTAGAACAATTCATGCCAAATAGTATTGCTAAATGAAAAACCATAATAATGAGATATTTATTTAAGTAGTTAGTTCAACACTCTCAAGGATCCTCCTCTGAAGTAAACTTGTATATAAACAGCAGGAGTAAGCATGTATCAAACCTGAAATTTATAGAATAGATACACCCTTATCTGCATATCCAAGTTCACTTTCAGGGAGCTCTTTCGAACACTGCTGATGGTGATGATATATGCTAGCATAAACTCCATGCTCAAACAATAATAACCAAGTGAAACTATAAACCAAATGTTTACAACTAACCTTAGGGAGCGATGTCTCACACTCGTATCCAAAAGTTGATGACGACGACAACTTCTCAAAATTGTTAAGTGTGACAGCAATATGCATATGCAGTTCTTGTGATGCATGGAGTACATGTTTGTGCAATCCATGTTTAATGGTAGACCATGCATAACAATCATTATTCACAGAAGCTGATCTCATGTCAGTTAACTGACCAGGGGACATGCCAGGATATTTATTGTACAAATACCAAGTTATCAAATAGTCAAGGACTGAATCTCCCAGAAATTCTAATCGCTGCAAGGAAGGGAATATATCATTCACAAATTGCAATAAAAGAAAAAAAAAACTTAACAAAAATACAAGGAAACAAGCTTGATAACGAGGAATGTGTAGAATTACTATTTATGAGGTCCCACCTAGACTTAAAAATGATAGGCAGTCACTATGGAATTCATGAAAGTTCATTCATACATAATAGATACATACTAATGTCACTGTCGTGTTTCGATATAATGAATAATAATCACAGTAAGTACCTGATAACATCTAGGAACTTCAGGAAGCATGTAGGAACCATGGGTTAGAGCTTCCACTAAAAGAGAACGGTCATGAAATGAGTACTTTAATTTAGATTCCAGAAATTCGACATTTACCAGCTTCTCTGGTTGAATGTCAAAGTGCCTATCATAGGCTATTTTATCAAAACTCACTTTAATCCCAACCCAATCCATAAACATCAACGCAGCTTTTTCACCACCAGTGCTGAGGAAGGCACCAATTAGTGCCTCAACAACATCAGCAATGATCTTCCGTTTTAATTTTCTTTTTCCATAAACATAATTCTTTTTCCCCTTGGTAATCAACTCTGTGTATTTAAAAGTTCTCGAATAATCACCAGGAATAATCCAGACATTAGGATCAAAAGGCGCATTTCGTATGAAGCCCTGCGAATCAAAAGAATGAGGAATTCAGAATTCTGACGTTTCAGGATGATAGTGCAATCCTAACTTGATGTAATGACGCAGAAGTCTAAAACCACACAAATTCATCACAGAAGGGATAAAGCAAAAGTTCAGCAATAGAATAAATATTGTAAACTCATGCAAAGAGCACAAATTAGGAAGCACATTACTAGCAGCAAATATTGTGAATTTTGGATTTGATTTTTGATAGGAACCCAAGAAACAATTCTGAAAATGAAGTTCTATTCCACAATGAGGAGCTCATAGCTCTTAGGGGGAAACGATCCACACCAGTCTGTACACACACACTCAACATTTTTCTGCTCACTCTCCATACTAGTCCCTGCCGGAAAAACCATATCATTTCATTGTACTCATGTGCATGCACCACTAGTGAGTAGCTCACGGCACTCCTTTCTCTTTCAGTAAACAATCAGATCTTTTCTTCTCAAAATACAAAACTGATAGAAAGTAGATCAGATTTACAGCAAGAAAACTGTTTAACTTGCAGAATTCTGAGGGTGTGCATCTCCTAATACCCAAAGGCCACAATACTCTAAAAAACGATAAGACGATCACTGCCTTCCCTTCCTCATATTAATTGGCAGCATGCTTTATTTCTCTAATCATCCCTGCCACCAACTAACTCCCTATCTAGTAATTTTACTATGGGGGATGCATATAAAACATTTGTACAAACATGACAATGACCCAAAAAATCACAATTATAATCTTCTATCAAACTTTAAGGAAAAAACAGTATTAACTAACTAATTAAAACAGCGAACCACTCATTACTTTTTGTCATTATATCAGAAACCAACTTATTCTTGTAATTTTTGGAGAAGAAATCAATCTTTAGGAAGGGAATGGGTAGCAAAAAATCCTAACCATCCGGATCACAAAATAGATATATGTGACGGAAATTTGGATTCAGGGAGATAATTCCGACACAACAAGTAACCAAGTGCAGGGAAATCAATAGCTTAATAATTTCCAGGGCAATAAGGAAAGTGCTGAATGAAATACTTTTTAGAGAAGGTAGATTGTTTGAGAATGAAAACGTGTATTCCATGGAGGCAACCAGTCATGCTAATAGAATTAATTTGTCACACGTGCCAAGAAGAGAGAAAAACCTCAAACAAATTTTGCCGAGACACTGCCACATCAGCAGAGTTTAATAACCCACTAAAAGGGAAAACATGATATGAAAAAGCTAATATATGTTGTAAAACTAGTATGCAATAACACTAAAGCAATGTATAAATTGGTGTTGCTAACACAACACATTAATGCTGTAAAAATATAAGGAAAGGATAGAGAAGAATCTTCTATACCAAATTTCAATAATCTCATCTTGATATTAACTATCCAAATCTTCTAGAATAAAATAAAATAAAATCAAATTGAGTATTCTGATTTTATCCATCAACCTTAATCTCCTAGAATCCTTATTTTGAAATTCAAATTTTACATACATAAACACTTCCTTATGATCATAAGAAATCAGCCAATATGTTTACAGAAATAGAACTTCTAAAGCAGAATAAAGACAAAAACATGCAATAAAGTTTTAAATGTAAATATGAAAAATGCTGATAGAAAGCATTTATAACAGATGCAGAGGATAAAAAATGGAATAAAAATATGAGAGAGAGATAGAAAGTACCGCAAGTCCAGAATTGCACCCTAACTTGCAGAGGGCAGTATTGGATATGATCTTTTCACGCTTCACACTAAGCAGTCCTTCATGGTGATTTTGATATGTTTTAAACAGCAATTGACTGGCAGCATATTTTAAAAAAGAATCACCAAGAGTCTCTAGAGACTCATAATGAAAGGCCTCTTTGCACCCTTTCGTAGTGATTGCTTCCAACACCTACAATGTAAAATGCAAGCACCATTTCTGTAAACATCTTTAAAATACTTGACAGCTAGAAAAGAAAAACAAGAAACAGAATCCACACATTCAGAAGACACTAATACAAATTAACCAAAAGAGGCTAGAATAAAATATTTCATACCAACAAGTTTCTTCTCAATCTCTTCATTGTGTATTTGCTGAGGTAAAAAAGGGTATAAGGAAGGAAGGCCTGAAGGAATTAGTAAAAATAACTATTCCAAATGACGTACTTCCCACGTCAATTGTTTTTTTCCAAGGGACGTCCAGTAACATTAGCACAACAAGAAAAGAGGGAAGAGGATGCCCTATTTAGGAGATTAGAAGAAAGGACTTCAGGGGAGAAAAAGCTAAGGATCATGTCCAAACCCTTTTGGCAGGATCTTCGGACCATATCATAAGAATTGGAGGAAGATCTGGTGTTGCAGAAAATTAAAAATGAGATAGTTGGCAATCCAGAGGCACACACAAAATACACATTGGAACACAACAGATTACATCATAAGGGTAGATTGGTCTTATCCGCCCAATCCCCTTGGATTCCCAAGTCGTTGGTTGAATACCATATGATTCCTACAAGGGGACACTCAAGTGTTTTCAGGACATAGACGAGGGCTTCCCAATCCCTGTAATGGATGACATGAAGAAAATGGTGACAAAATTGGTGGCAACATGTGTGATCTTTCAACAACACAAGTATTTGGCTTCATCTCCTCAAGGGTTGTTGCAACCCTTGCCTATACCAAATGCAATATGGGAAGATATTAGTTTAGATTTTGTGGGAAGCTTAACTAAGTCAAATGGATTTGATACCGTTTTGGTGGTGGTTGACAGGCTGAGTAAGTATGGTCACTTCATCCCCATCAAACATCCATATTTGACTAAGTCTTTAGTGGAGATTTTTGTGAACGAGGTGGTAAACGTAAACCTACATGGAATCCCTGCTTCGATTGTCAATGATAGGGATCCCACATTCCTAAGTCTATTCTAGAAGGAAATCCTTAGATTACAAGGTACAAAAATTAAAGATGAGTACCGCCTACCATTCGGAGTCTGATGAACAAACTGAGGTGTTAAACTGAATCCTGGAAACTTACTTAAGATGGTTCTGTTCAAAACAACCAAAAGCATGGGCAAGTTTTATACCTTGGGCTGAATATTAGAATAATACCAGCCAAGTGCACCCCCTTTGAAGTAGTGTATGGCAAGCACCCACCTTCCCTCATGAGATTCATTCCTAGAGAAACAATTGTAGGAGTAGTGTCGTAGGACTTGATGACTAGGGATGAAGCCCTTAAACAACTCAAGTTCCATTTGGTTAAGGGCACAATAACAAATGACTAAATTTGCAAATAAACATTGCAGACCATCACCAATAAAAGTAGGAGATTGGGTGTATTTGAAGATTCACCCCCATAGGCAAACTTCTATGCCGAGGTTGCATCCAAAACTGTCAGCAAAATATTATGGCCCTTTTTTGGTGATATGACAGGTGGGGCCAGTCGCTTTTGGATTGCAACTATCAGAGACCCCACGTATTCATCCTGATTTCACGTATCCTAGTTGAAGCTAGCAATCAGAACTCACCAAGCGGAAAATGATTTGCCAACAGAGTTGAAAGGAAGAGTTTCCACCTGTTTTCCCATTAAAATTCTGGACAGTAGGACCTTTCCGCAAAACAAGGAATCAATATAGCAAGTCCTGATTCAATGGCAAGAGAGAGGTCCAGAGGCAGCTACATGGGAAGATGTAGCCACCAACAAGTCTCAGTTTCCAGACTTCAACCTTGAGGACAAGGTTGATGATGCAGGGGTGGGTAATGTTAGAGGATGGGATGTTTACGTGAGAAGAAAATATATGGGAAAGAATAGTTAACTGTTGGGTGGTATAAGGGTTAGTCTTATGTTAAGAAGACTACATAGGTGTGGGGGAGTCCCTTGCTGCGGGATATGTTTTTGCTTCTGTTAGAGAGTGTTGACAGGATTGTTGAATCCTGTGAGGAAGGATACTGGGATCCTTGGCAGTGTACTTGTTGCTTTTCCTTGTTCCACGAATAATACGTGGGTTACTACTAAGTTTTGTTCGTTAGAATTGCGAATAATACATTTCTTCTAACAAGAACTAATCAACATCACACACACGTTCATACACACATATACATAAATATGTATGTATACATATAGTCAAATAATTCATTTTCACTACCATTTTTTTTATTTAATATTTATTAAGGACAAATGACAGAAAGACACAAAATTGTCAATTCTGGAGAAAAACATGGAAATATAATAATTTCTAAATATAACAATGAGCAGTTATAACACACCTTGGTTGTTTGAATTTCATTTTCTGTGCAATGATCTGAGTACATCTTTTTTAAGTTGAAAGCTGAAAGCAATGATTCAAGCCGATGCATGATTGATGGAATAAATGAGAAGGAATAAATTACACCATCTGTTATCGGTGACATTACTATAGAGCATAGTTCTGGGGGTAATTCAACGAAGGAATGGCTTGCTTCTGAAACAGAAAACATAATGTTAGGAGTCAGATTGGATAATATATGGGTAGTGTTTTGATAAGATTTTCTTATGTTGTAGAGGGGTTTTTAGGTTATATATATGATATGAGTCTTACTCCATATAAAGGATTAACACCACTTTTAATCAAAAGCCTTAAATCAATAGGTTTATGGTCTTTTCTCTTATATAGTATTTAACTTAGTCATTTCTACCTAACGTGGGATTTTGACTCACTTGGATTATTCCCAACATGATTGAAGCAAGTACTAGACTACAAGTATAATTCGGCATCATGATATTGATAAATAAATAAACATTAATAGAAGCAGTGTGATACAAATCATATTCATATTAAGTTTATAACAATGCTTCTATGTATTAAAAAAGAAAATCAAAAGACATCTTTCATTCATATGAGGACAGCAAAGGCAGAAAAATATAATTGGTCCAATCTCTCCAAGGAGAGATCAAGGAACAAAATAAAACAAACAAATTGAAAAATCAAGGGTCAGACCTCTTTCCTTTCGCTGTCTGAGTCCATGACAGTGATTTTTAACTTGAAACTTGTGTTTTGCTTTGAGAAGCCGCTGATGTTCAAATTGCAATTGAATACCATGACTGAAAATTGGGGAAAAGAAAAAAAAATAACCACTCTAGTGGATTAAGCAACAAGAGAATAAGCATCAATCACAAATATGCACTTACTATTGATCAAAGTACTTCTTGTATGTAGTTATTTCACCATTCCTTAGGATCATATGCGAGTTTGTGTCCAATTCCATAACACCAGTAGTGATATAGAAATAAATGTTACCAGCAGCATGTGAAGTACACACCAATGCATTCTGTAGCTTACAAGTGCAAACTAGACCACTTTTTGTACTTATGTGGGGTTGATGATACTTACACCTAATATTAGATGGATTTACAGAATTAACAATTAACCAATCAATTTTTGAATTTGGATGTTTACCAGTAGCTGGAAGCAGAAGATAATCAATCTCAAGATCATCTTTCAAAAAGCATTTGTCTAAACCAGTTGTGAACTTATCCATACAATTGTCTATCAGAATTCTAAGCAAAGTGACCTGGAATTTTTTACATAAAAGAACCTGTAAAACAAAAAACAAACAATAAATACAGACTTTTCTTAACACTTCCAAATATGCCAAATACAATTAAAGGACAACAAGACAACATACCTGATCTAAGGAAAGATTAATGGTTCCTTTGTGACTTAACTTTACCGAGACACTACCTTTATCAAAATCCATATCAAATTGCATGCATCCAATTTCTGGATCAAGCTTAATTCTTAAGGCAAGAAAAAGATCTTGCACAGATGTATGATAGCAAAATTTTTGACTGAACTCCATCAAATAACAATGGTAAGTTGTGTGACTACTATTTGGCACACAATTGACCAATTCAAATGGAGCATAAATTGGTTGGTTTTCATCATAATGTTCATTCCCTGCAATAATGTTTCGATGAGGAATGCATTCAAATGAACAAATAAGTTTTAAGGAAGGCAGAGGCCGTAATAGAAGGAGGAGAATGAATAAGTCATGCTAGTTACCAAATTCCTCCATCTCTGCTTCTTCAATGACAATATCAGGAACAAGATTATCTGTCAGAGCTCCAATCTTGTGAAGTTGTTTGCATGCTTCAAGGCATGCAATATTCTTTAAGAGATTTTTGTCACCTTCTACATGAATAGGCTTTAGCGGACAGCTCTTGGGAAGATATAAAGTTGCGGTCTCTTTGTCCCACCTTGGAGCTGGTTTAAAGTACCTGAGAGTTAAATCTAGATGGGATAAATGATGAAAAACAAGATAAAAATAAAGCCAGAATGTAAAGAAAGCATATCTGAGATTCCTAAAATAAAGGAGACAAACATTTAGTAAGGGGGAAAAAATGAAATAACTGACCCATCTGCAGGGAGCCGTGAGCAATACAAGTGAATCAAACTAATGCTAGAACTAAGATTTGCAAAGGCATCAGTGTTTGCAACGCGATAAGTTTCTTCGTCAAATTGATCACCTTCTAAAGGATCACATGGAAGTGAAGAATAACGTAATGCCTCCTTCCTCATAATATCCCCACTTGCAAGGTATTTCTCTAGTCGAGAACATGTAGCTGAATCCCCACTGCAATTCAAAATAAAGTAATGGAGTTTTGGGAAAATTTACTTTAACTGTGTATAGGTTTGACTATAGAATTTTGTCTCAGATTTGACTCTATAATCCTGCCTCTCAGCTGGATAATTAGCACATGTGCAAGTACTACAGCAATAATGATGCTGAGAATTGTAAAAAAGGAACTACCTCTTAACTATTAATAAGTAATCTGAATTTTTCATTCTGGCTCGCCCTCGGGACTGTATAAAACTACACACTGTAGGAGATGGATCAAATCTAATAACTAGATTGCAAGTCTGAACATCTAAACCTTCTTCAAGAATTGATGTTGCAACAATGATGTTAACCTGCACATTCAATTTTTTGTTGTAGATAAGACCTGCATTTGGTTATTATGATACAGTGGATTGCTTAAGAAATCATCATACCAAACCCAAATGAAATTCTTCCACAATTTTATTTTGTTCTTTCCTAGACTGATTTTGTAATCGATATTTGTGTCCAGCAATGAATTTTGTCTTCCAGTTATTGATTGTTGGAAGTAAGGTATTCAATAGATCCTGAAGGACAATGGCTGTAACGACCCTTTGCACAAAAATTATGCATCTTATGTCAGTCAAACCCCTGCAATTGTAGCATATAAAGTAGATCCATATAAGAGATTTAATCATCATGATAGCATAAAAAAGCTTACTACATTCAATCAAACAAAAACAATAGCATTATCCCACTGGAACTGCATATACAATCAAAAGGTAAACTAATTAGAGTAATAAATCAAAAGAAGATTAATAAAGAATGGGGTTTAATATATTATGTCACAGTCCAAAATCTCAGTCACAGAAAAAGTTGGAGTTTAACATATTAGGTCACAATGCGAATTTTGTGACAAAATTAATATAGGGTACAGTGTTCAACACTCATCCCAATCTGAAGCTAGCACTAACAGGCTTAGATTCCAAAAACTAGGCCCGTTTAAGACTCATGTTATATCCCAAACTCTACCTGGTGTCACAACATTTTAAAACCCAACATCATTTCAACTTTATACACTTTCCATAACAGATAAATAGCTATAGTTTTCAAAGAAGTAATCTAAAGATCCATCAGTTTTCTACCTTTCAAATTTTGTCATATAGCACAAAATATCCAAATCTATACAAGTTGTCAAAATAGAGTCAACCTAGTACTAGCCTAAGTATTTGCTGGGACATAAGTGAGCTGAAGAATGAATTATTGGTGACAGGTTAAGATTAGGTTAAATCCATCCAATGAACAGCCCTATCCAGAGCTGAAGAATAAAGGAGATATATGAGACTTCACACTATCTAACCAAATGACCAACCATAAAGGCATTTAACCGTCCAATAAGAAACTTAAACCATCTTAACAAGCACAAGGAGAGCTTAGAGGCCAGAACATCCATAAAAATAACCCATATTACATGATTTCAGAACCACATCATAAATCTTTAAAAAGAAACCTGCTCATGATTATAACCTGTACTCAAGTAGAGAGTCAATAAGACAACAAACTTTGGTGGTCAACAGCCCCATCTCCACATCAGATTTAATATTGTTGCCAATAGACCACTGAGGACCTGAGCAAGAAGAAAGCATTGTGTAAAAATTAATTAATGCTAGAAATACAAGTAAGAGATTTATAGTTGAAATTTCATCATTTTTCTCAATGGTTGTAGAATAATTACCGCATGGTAAGTAAGTTTTCAGTGTCTGCACACAAGCCAAAATAAAGTTTTTAACAACTGTATCCCCACAATGTCCCCATGAAAATGATTCGAATTCATTGGATGACAAAGATTCTGCAGCCTGTCACTTAAACAAACAGTTGTCGTCAATTATATTTATGAAATCTTGAAGAATCATGAGTCATGAAATCTGTGCAGAAGAAAGGAGAGAACCTTTAAAGTCAACCAAACACCAAGCTCATCCAGGCAAAACATTAAAGCGCAAAAAATCTTTGCTATTCTTTTTTCTGCAGACTCAGCAGATGATTTAGTGAAATCTGAACTTCTTAGAGTGGATCCATGCTGAGAAGCAGAATATCCCTTGTTAGTAAACTCAAGAAAAAATAAACTATGACATAAAGAGAGTAGCACAACAGAAAGATAATAAGACAGAACTTATAAAGGACCAGAGTCAGTTCCATTTTTGACACAAGGGGATTTTTCTTTCTATTAATTGTTAGAGTTTATATCAAAAGCTGATATCCTTAAATGTACACACCTGCTCTTTTAATATCTTGAGTTTCAAAGCTAAGTCTTCAAATAAAGCAAATTGAATTCCACTGTCCCTATAAAACTTGAATTTTGGTGTTGATGATGGCATGAACTCTGCGAGGACAGCTTCACTTACACATGTATATACCTTCATTACAAAATAGATGTCAAAGAAAATAATACATAGCAGGACTATATGGTAGCACATCAACAAAAACAATTACTAATCACATGAGAATAAATTATTCCCACCATATTGTCTCATTTCTTCAAATAAATAAAGAAATAACTTTCAAATATAGGTACTGGTTCAAATACCTCTAGGCATGTTAATACATTGGGTCACGAATGGTCACAAATGTTTCCTAAAACCTAGGAAAATAACTGCTAAAAATAACTAGAAAGAATCAAATAAGTTAACATAAATTTAATCTTTTTGGTACTTTCTCACAAAATCTATCACTTGGAGGCTCAATCAATAGTCTCTGTACTGTATCTATATACATATGGTTATCTTTAATTACAACAATTATTTATAATTTACAGGAAGAATATAGTTGATAACACTCAAACAACACGATAACATGACTAGAAAGAAGAAAGTAAATAAAATTGTACAACAGAGGGAGAAAATAAAGGGCAACCTTAGAATGCATTAGTGTAATTAGAGTCCGAATATTCTCTGACCAGGATAATTCCGAATTTCCGACTGGATTAAAAAAGAAAAAGCAACATTAGAGAAAGAAAAAAAATCTGGCAATTCAAGGAGGTACAAATTTTCTCTAAACTGAATACCTTTTGACTTAATTGGAGATGCAGTCATCCCAAAAATTCGAGGGAGATCGGTGACACCTAAATTTAATTGGTGATGATAGAACTCCTGCAAGAAATCAAATCTTACAAAGGTAATCAACAAACTCATGATGCATATGAATAACAAGCAAAGACCAACTTACAATACATGGTTGTAATTGTCCTCCGAAAAAAAAAAGTTACAACTCTTATAGAACAAAATAAAATCAGAAAAATCATGATAGTATTGAATAAAGTCAACAATTTAAACTAAAGTCTCAAGTAATAAAGTAACACGATCAGCAATACATCAAATTTTCAGAAGCCATGCAACAGGTCACACCACCTCACTACATCCATTAAATTTGCCATGATGGGTTTTTTGGTATTACTCTTGGTAGACACATGGCTTTTTGATGCAGAGCATTTAGCTATTATGAATGTTATTGAAATTGCTCATTGAAAGAAACAGTTAAATTTGAAGAATGAGAGTGATAGTACGAGCCCAGTCCATGCATTCACTACTTTTAGTATTGTTTCGTGAAGACAACCTAGATGGGATTGCAGATAGCACAGTGATGCTAATGCATACTTACTTTTAAAAACAACATCAAGTCCTTCTTCAAATTATTTTGGAAAATGCAGTAGTTCAGAGTCCAGATCAGTTACTGACTCGATAAGTTTACTATAATTTATGACAACGACATATTGAAACCAATAAGATGTTTGAAAAAAAAATTCATAGGCTTAACCAAGCACCTGCACAAGTGTTTGGTGTTAATATCAAGAGAAACCCATGTAAGTAATGTAAAAAATCTTCCAAACGCCCCCAAGTCTATGAATCTACCTAAATTTCTTTTTCATCAGATAGTTTCTAGAGATAAGTGCACACCACATGTATAACTGTAGCAAACTAATATAAGAGTTGTTTATAAAAGTAATAGCTGACCCACACCGGAGGGTCTTTTTTTATTATTGGTATTCATGTCATAGAAGAAGGTGGATACTTTACCGTCACCAATCAACAACAGCTCGCACATAACCCTACCCAGTCTGTACACCAGCCTTGTGGCTGAGGATTTAATTTTCCCACTTAATAATGAATCTTAAGGACAATGATTTAGAAAGGTTAAACTTATATTTCAACATGCTAATGAAGAAGTCAAAGTTCACATATATTATATGATAAAAATTAGTAAGAAATTCAAAGACGCAAACCAGTGAAGATTAAAAGAAGGAAACGATATAACACTTACAGTCATGATGCAGGCGTAAGGGTGTTTGCCCCTAGCATGATGGCACTCGTCCATTATTAAAACCTTAATCATATTAAGTTTGAGGAAGCTATGCCTCAGGCAACTCAGCAATATTGCAGGAGTCATGACAAGCACCTAAACATTGAAAGGGCAATTCAGTAGTATTGCAGGAGTCCTGACAAACACCTAAACATTGTAAAGAATTACTTACAGTAATTACCAACTATCCATGCGGCATACAAAAAATAAATTTCAGAAACATCATACTATAAGTAACAAATGACTCAATGAACATCATATTCGAGTCAACTGAATAATAGGAAAAAGAAAGCATTTGTGTTCTGTTTCATTTGGATCAAGCATAAAGATAGAAGCAGAAAACTATGTCTAAGTATTCTATAAGCTTTAACCTAGTACATACTTCACAAATCAAAAGGACAATGCAAAAAAATTAGACAATATGAAATGAATTCCAAAAGTAACAAAAAAAAAAAGAGTTTGTGGTCAGGTGTTCATCAATAAACTCAAAAAAGAAAATGGAGTATTTCTTGTGTTCTCATGGAAAGTGGCGTAGGGTGTCACGAGAGATTAGTTATGTAAAAATATTAAGTTCAGAAAATAAAAACAACCATAAATTTTATTTGCATGACAAGGAAAGGCTCGTATAGGCTTGAATTATACAGTTTTTATTCTCTTCTAGTTGCATAATTAGGTTAGATGTGGTCTCTACACATGATTTATAATCACCGCTCCCTAATTACCAAACTAGAAATAAGCATTCAGCCACCTTTCAAGTAAGGGGACGCAGGAACATGCCACACAAGGCACATACAGATGGATTATGATTAAGTAGAGCATGTTCATACAGTTAACAAGGGCATCTTTCAGTCTTGATAGAAATGAAAAAAACCCTGACCTCATGTTTCTCCACTTCTTGTTTCCACATAGCAGCGTCCCAGAAGTCAACTCCCATGGCTCCCCAATACGTTCCCACTTTTAAATCAGTATGCTTTTTCACGACTTCAGATTGCTAAAGTGAATCAATAACAAGTTAAAAAGACAATGAATACAAAAGGCTAAGAAGCAAAAATACTGATCCATTAATGTATTTTATTATGTCTTTATTACTCTTTATTCTTGTTGGAAGTATTACATCGACTAAAGATAAGACCAATTTAGAGTATATATGTGGGTGTAGACCTCACCTTACAAGCTGGTTTTGTGAGTTGATTTAGGCTTAAAGTCCACTTCTTACCATGGTATCAGAGCCATTGTTAGAGCCTATACTAGCAATATTTGTTGTTTGTTGGATATATTGTTCCACCCGCTATCAGATCACCCATTAATGTCTAGTCTCACACACGAGAGGTATATACACATGGATTATTCTTTCCCAAAGACTCATCTTTATATCTTGTGGCATACAATGATATTGATTGGGCAGGCTAACCAGATACTTGTCGGTCTACTACAGGTTGGTGTATGTTTCTTGGTGTTGTCTTAATTTCTTGGAAATGTAAGAAGTAAGATTGTGTCTATAAATCTTCTACTGAGGCTGAATATCCTTCAGTGTCATTTGCTTGAGTTGAAATTTGTGGTTATGTGGTCTTTTGGAGCAGCTTGGGTTTTCTCAACCTACATCAACACCTATGCATGCCGATAATACGAGTGCTATGCATATTGTTGTAAATATAGTGTTTCATGAATATCCCAAACATATTGAAGTAGATTGTCATTATATTCGGGAAGCCTTAACCAACATTGTCATCTCTCTACCTTACATTTCTATTGATCTTCAAGTTGCTGATATGTTTACTAAAACCTTGTCTTGACAGCACCAACAGTTTCTTGTTGGCAAATTGTTATTGGTCGACTTACCAGCATCAATTTAAGGGGGATGTTAATGTATTTTATCATGTCTTTATTAGATTATTTTCTACCTTTAGTAGATTGCTGTTAGGATTTATCATAAATTACTCCCTATAAATAGGAAACCTCCTATAATCCTCCCTTTATTGCATATCTCTTGCGATCTCCCATGTTAATGTAAACACATTATATGCTGCCTATTTAAGAAAAGAAGGTTGCAAAATACATAAAGCTTTTCGAAGGAAAGAAATCATGTTATATACTATGCTCTCTTGCCTTGATATTTAGACAATGCTTTCTTGCCTTGATATCTTGACAATGACAAAGCTATAAAAAAATGTATCTCAAATTCGAAAAAGGCATCATCATCACAGAGAAAAAGTGACATACTTGAGAAACCAACACAACTTGGGGAACCAAGAACACTGCAATAGAAGAAGAAGGCTTTCTCAGATGATGAGCATAGCTGCGAAGAAGCATGATCGCTATCAAAGTCTTGCCGGAACCAGTCTCCAGGTACACTATGGTATTCTCACGCAAAGCATTATCCAATGCTTCAAGTTGATAGCTACTCAAAAAACAAAAACCAATCAAAAGAAATGAGAGAGATTATAACAACAACAATAATACATTCAGACATCCGTGTATTAACGCGCACGCATTCAACCCTAGAAAAGTTAACAGGAACATCCTTGTATTAAACTCACCTTCTAGCAAATGGAAGAACATCACGTGTATTGTTCTGCTGCTGTGTGTTGTCAATAACATCCCCCACGAGTGCCTCTTCCATGCTCTGTTTGCCTCCTTGATCACCCTACATTCAAATTCCAGTGAAAGAAAAACACCCCATTAGAGAAACTATCTTCTCTACGTCATGGAAGATGCAAGAAGGCATAAAACTAAACTCATTACTCAAAGAAACTGATTGAAAATGGGTAGTGCAAAAGGTCAAGTTTTCCCTCTGAGAAGTTTGAGTGTGTATTTAAGAGGTTTTAGGAAATAACTGTAGATACTACTTCTTCCAAAAGCAGCTTCGGATGGAAGGAACCGAGGAGTCACTCTAACTCTGACTTTAAACCCTGTCGTTTGTGATATAAGTAGAAATCTCGTGGAAAATAATGAGAATTCGGTGTCACTGTCTTCCCTGACACATGACACATGAAAGAGCTAGTTTGGTTTAGCTTTTTTTTTTCACTGTCTGGTCTAAATAAAGGTCATATGTTGACAACAGTGAACAGAATTGAACATAGCAGAATATTTCTTATTAGAATCTTCGAAATTTAAAGTTGAATGAATACCTTTCTGTTTTTTTCACTGTTTTCTCTTTTTCTTTTTTCTCCTCCTGATGGTATTGAGTGTAGATTCATGAGTAAATGAGAATTTGTAGATGTATCTGAAGACAAAATTAAGAAAAAGAAAAGAAAAACAGAGAGTATGATGAGAAAATTTTTAAATTTAAACACCGGAAATAAAATACATGATAAATTAAATTTATGTTTTTAACTATTCAAATTCATTACTAAATAAGATAAAATATATTGTTACTTGTGTTTTGATTATCTAGTCTTCTTTTATTTTATTATTTTCCCATTTTTTTCCATACCAAGTCAAAAACAATCTATTTATTCATTATCCATTTCTTGTATTCATAGCTAAATTTATCTAATTTATTCAGATATATCAAAAATCATCACAAATTCACAAGTAAATTTATCAAGTTTTTTCTCTATTATTAAGTAATGAGCGAAAATTAATTTAACCAAATCTTTTTGGGTTTTAAAATGTTCAAAAATTATTTTCTAAGATATCCATCCATGAAAATTTGTTAGTGGACGGATTGGATCCCATTTTTATTGAATAAAAAGGATTGAATTGAATTTTTACTCGATTAAAATATATTAACAAAAAGCTTATTCAAATTATTGTAATTGGGAATAAAATTTATCCTGTTCAACTTTTCATCCTTAATTAGCGCATGACATATCTCGAATTTATAGTTATGGGATTACAATTTTTCTAAATAAATTATCGAAGTTAAAGGGTAAATTTGGAATCAACGTCTAATAATACATTTTTGGATAACATTTTTATTGTTGATTGAAAATTAAAAAAAAAATATATAAGAGACTCGTTTGTTGAACCTTAATTAGGGTTAAGAAGAAAATTTCCTTACCAATTTGAAGTTCGAATTCGATGTTGAGTATTAAAAAGAGTAATTGACTACTTTGTCCCTCCACGGTATCTATTGTGAATGAAGAGCACGAAAATAAAACTATGATGATAGATCTAATTTGCATACGGCGCATTAGGTTTAGATGAAGTATTGTTAGATAATTCCTCTTTATATATACTGTTATATATACGTTTTAGTATATACTGTAACTTAAACTTAAAATTAAAATATTAGAATACGTTGGAGTCTTTTGCAATTTAATAAATCGAATACCATAAAAAATAAAAGTATAATGAAATTAAAGATTAAAACATCCTCATCAAAATAATAAATGGGTTTTACTTAATTACAAGAAACATAAAAATTGACCGTAGGACAGATCATATATATCTTTAACATATTTTGTAAAAAAAACTATATCTTAAAATATATTTTATAAGTTAATCTTAAATCTATTTATTAAATTGATATCAAAATTATATTAACAGTTGTATGTATTTATCATAAATTATATTAAAATTTTCATAAACTCTTAACATATTCCTTAAATTTAAAATCAAATTCAAGAAATTAGTGTATAGTTCAGCAATGAAATCACAACGTTCTCATATTAATACCATAAGTTAAATACTATATTAATTATGAACTTATTACATTATTAATATTATATAGTTTTTATTCATTAATTACATATTTATTACATTATTAAATTATATGACTCATGGGTTAATTGTTTTTACACATACCCCACTCACCGCAGTAGGCAAGAGGCAATAAAAATAGGTTTCAATTGTATTAGAAAATAAAGAGCATGAAAATGTATAAAATAAATCGATCATATAAACTGCATCCTGCAAAAATCTGAAGTTATATATAAATAATTGATATCAAGATCTTATGATGGAAACATTACAAAAAAATTGGAAACTTTGATTGTAAAATAAAATAATATTAATTTATTTTCTTAATTATCATAATAATTATTTAAATTATTTACATATTTTTAGTTAGAAAAAATACACTATGCGAGAGGCTTGGTACGTGATAATTTTGTTTTATACCAATGATTGTGATTTTCTGAAAAAATATTAAATTTATTTGATATCAATGTTGGGGCTATTATTATATTACATTTTTTTTTTGTCAAAGTAAAAAAATTAAAAATGAACTCTTTCTGAATAAGAAAAACTCATCCTGTAAAAATCCGTTTTGAAAAAAAAACATAGATGGAATGAACATACAAAAAGAGAATGAACAATGGACTTAAGTTTAAAGTTTATTTATTATGAGGTTTTTTTAATATTTTATTTTCAAAATAAATTATAAAAATTATATTTTGATAATTCTATTACGAAAATAATGTTTCGAAATTTCTAAAATTCTGAAATATCACTTTAAAAATTATGGAGATGAAATTAAAAATTATAGGGGTACAGAAATAAAAAGTGTCTGAAGGTATAATTGAAGAGGGGTGTTACTCCTTCCACCCCCACACGTCTCTTCCTCCACATCCCCAATTTTCTAAAATGCCAATTATATCTTTCTAAAATGACAATTATATCCTCAAAAGTTAAAATTTTTTATTTTTATTATTTTAATATTTTAATTTATTTAAAACTTCTGATTTACTTTCCTCTGCACCTCTTCCTCTCTTCCATTTTCGTTTACCTTTCTCTCTTCCGTTAAGCTTCTTCTCCACCTATAACAAATTCATATTTTAACAAATTCATATTTTAACAAAATTATTACGTTTAAAAACTAACCATATATAACATTTAAAATTATAAATTTAAATATAAATTACTGTAAATAAAATAAATAAATAAAATAAAAACGAAACGTAAAAGGAACACTGCCTCTGGACGGATGACATCCTTCAACGGATGTCAACATCCGTTGAAGGCAAAACGGATGTCGACATCCGTTTTGCCTTAAACGGATGTCGACATCCGTTTTTCCTTAAACGGATGTTGACATCCGTTGAAGGATGTCATCCGTCCATAGGCAATGTTCCTTTTACGTTTCGTTTTTATTTTACTACGTTTTGCGGCTCATGCAAGGATTATAGGCTTGAATATTAAAAGGATTATTGGAAGTATGGGAAGGATTTAGGGTTTAGGATTATTGGAAGGATTATGACTACGTACCTGGAGAGGAACCACGACAAGGACACTACACCATAAACGCACTGCACCACGTACTGCACCGAGAACAAGAAGAAGATTGTTTGATAATTCTTTTCACGATCACCAAGCTTTGTAGAAAAATATTTTACTCATACAAGAAACTACGTAGGTTATCAGTGAAATATGTTATAAATGAATAAAATTAAAAAACAACAATTTTAAAAATAAAATTTTACTGAGGGGCAAAATAGTAAAGGAAAGGTGGAGGAAGGGGCAAAATAGTAAAGGGGAGGTGGAGGAAGAGATGTGTGGGGTGGAGGGAGCAACACCCATTGAAGAGTAATTTAGGCCCAATTTGGAAGCCCAAATATAAAAGATGTCACAAGTGAAAAACGCTGGCCCAATAACCCCAACGGCTAGTAATTATAAAACGGCTACTTTCTTTTACAAATTTTTCTTTCACCTTTCTTTTCTCGTTTCGTTTTCCTTTCACTTTCTATCGTTGAAGCACTCATTGCTGGTGTGCTTTTCCCACTCTGTTAAATTGGTTCTCTTTCTCTCTTTCGCCTTCACACCCTTCAACTAGAAGGAAGAAGAAGAAGAAGTGGGGTTCTCTTCTGTTGAAGAATTCAGTTTTAGTCATCTGGTTAAGAAAGTTCTTGTCGCCATGCTGTTTGAAAGAGGCTCGCCGGCGAGGTGCTTCATGACACCGCCGCCGCAGCCGCCGTCTCCATGGAAGACCATACGTTCACGCTCTCCCAGTGTGCCATTTTCAGAGAGAAAGAAATCACCAAGCTCTTTGAATAAAAATGATCTTTTTCATATAATTCACAAGGTCCCTTCCGGGGACTCACCTTATGTTAAAGCCAAGCAAGTTCAGGTAACTTTTTTTTTCTTCTTTTTGTTGTTGTTGAATTTGGATGGTTTTCCTTATTGGGGCACGTGCTGTTCTTGCTTGTTCCTTCACTTCTTGGTCTTGAGGTTATTTTCGCGGGAAAGAAAGTTTTTGTGACATTTATTTTCTTTTGTTCTTTGGTGTTTCTTTTTTTGTTAAAGAATGTGATAGCATCTGATGGTCTAAGTAATTAAGACCCTCAGTGTTTTGCCATTAGAGAATTCAGGGGGTGGGCGTGAATGACAACTTGAATTGTTAAGGGATTCATTGGTTTGTTTTGTTTCCTTCATTGGTCTTGTTAAGGGATCTGAGAACTTGACTGTTAATATGATTTTTCTTTTACAGTTAGTAGATAAGGATCCGGGAAGAGCAATTTCCTTGTTTTGGGCTGCCATCAATGCTGGAGATCGTGTTGAAAGTGCCTTGAAGGACATGGCCTTGGTAATGAAGCAACTGAATAGGTCCGATGAGGCAATTGAAGCCATCAAATCTTTCCGTCATCTTTGTCCTTCGGAATCTCAGGATTCTCTTGACAACATTTTGGTTGAACTGTTTAAGGTAAAAGCTGGTGGATCCTGTTTTGTTTGTTGCTGTTTTTTGTGTCGTTAACTGAATTAAGCTTTAAACCGCCTGTGTCTGATGTTACAATCTTGCATAGTGGGGTAAGACCGTTGTTGTTGCATGTATGTTGCTATACATAACATAGTGGGATAAGAAGCTTACTGTTGTTGACTTAGGGATTGGATGTATGTTGGTACACCTTTATTACTGGAATAAGGCAATTGTTGTCGTATGTATATTGAAACACCTCAACTAGTGGAGTATGACTGTTGTAAGTTTTTATATATGTTGGTACACCTGAACACATAGTGAGACAAGACTAAAATTGTTCTATGGTATGTTGTTGAAACAGAGGTCAGGCAGGGTTGATGAGGAGATCGCCATGCTTCATCACAAGTTGAAGCTAATTGAAGATGGCATAACCTTTGTGGGAAGGACTACAAAACAAGCAAGGTCTCAAGGGAAGAAGATTCAAATAACTGCTGAGCAAGAGATATCAAGGTTTTTCTTTTACATGCGTGCTGTTTTTTCATTTTGCATTAAGTTTATGGACCTTGCACCTTTACTTGACTTTGAATTTCTCTGTATTATGCAGAATACTGGGCAACTTGGCCTGGGCTTACTTGCAAAAAGAAGACTATAAAACTGCTGAAGAACATTACCGGTGAGCCTTTAAGATGCAATAAAAAGTGGAATTTATGTTTTATCTCTTTTACTTTGAAGAGAAAAGTAACAGTTCCTTGTTTGTCTTTACAGGAAAGCATTGTCTTTTGAGGTTGATAGGAACAAACAGTGCAATTTGGCAATATGTTTGATGCATATGAACAAGATCAAAGAAGCAAAGTTTCTACTCCAGGCAGTACGCACCGCTACAAAAAATAGAAAGATGGACGAGTCCTTTGCTAAATCATTTGAACGCGCTTCTCAGATGCTAATTGAGATAGAGACGACATCATCATCATCAGATAATGCACCATTTTCAATGACGAGTTTGCCTCGGTGCTCTTCACAAGGCTTTGAGAACTCAACTAGGAAGAGCTCTGATAGAGTTAAGAGACCTGATGAGGGGGATGTATCTCATGCCAGGAGGAGATTGTACCAATCCCCTGATCCTGGTAGAAGAGACCTGAATCTGTATGTTCCTTGCACAAAGCCAAAAAGATGTTCATGGGGCTTCAACAATGGATATCGAAGGGAAGCTTGGGGAGATGTCCATTCAGATTCTAAATCTTCATTTGGGACTCCTCCCAAAGATAAGCATGTCACGAGGATGCTGAACGCAAGAGAAAATGGTTTGTCTTCACCTGCCAGTGAAAAATGGAGGGCAAGTACACTGGAAGGTCCTGCTCTACTGAAGCATGAAGATACAACAGTAACAAGTTCTGATTTGTTACACACTTTGAATACAGAAGCAGCAGTGGAGTTTACTGACCAGGAGAAATCTTCTGCAGGAGACAGTGGCCATAGATATATCATGTCAGAATCACATGCCATGGTTGAGAATGATATCGATGACTTTGCTTCCGGAAATGGAAAACCATATGAGAAGAAGAGTTGGGCAGACATAGTAGAAGAAGAACAAAACGAAGAGAATGACTTCTTCAGTGGATACATCAATTTTGATGGTGAGGACGGTGTAGAAGTGTTTAATGATGAAAATGAAGACTCCAACATAATCTATCAAAGTCCTTGGCCACATAATCAGCCTGAATGGTCAAGCAAAAAGCTTGAATCTTTGGAACAGAAAGATGAATACTATGCATCTGGGAGTGCCATTTTGTCAAGGAATCCAACAGCAAGGCGTTCTCTGTGTTTCAACCCGGAACTGAGTTCAGAATCAGCATCAAAATCACCAAACAAAGTTTCAGACTTGGAAATTCGGGACTCATCGGGTGGGGAGAAGAAGCTAACTAGGAGAAGCAGGTTACAGGTGTTTCAGGATATTACTCTTCTCCCTGAAACCCCACGATTAGTCTAAGATTTATTTGTCTCTACACAAGTATCCTCATGGATGGGGAAGGATCACATTGTTGGCTTAAATAAGGATCGTATGGATGGAGAATGATCACACTGGTAAGAGTTATTGGTTTAATTACAGGATCATGGATCACAATTATTGAAAGAAGTTATCCATTAAGGTAGCTTATTCTTTCATTCAAACTCATTTTTTATTTGTAATAAGTTCTGTAGATCCATGTTCATCTACCAGAATTCGGTAAAATAGTTGCCTCCGGTTGTATTGAAACTGGAAGAGTGCCAATATTTCTGGTACACTCACAGATTGTTCTTCAATTTACTAGTTTCATTACTGACATTATGCACTGCTCCTTCTACAATGAATAGAAAAAAAAAATGTGCTTCTCTTTGTTCCTATATTAGGATTTGCAACTTATTTTCATGTTTACAAAAAGTGTACAAGTTTCTCTAGTGGTATTGAGACTGAAAGAATGGCTACTTCTGGTACCAATTTTCTCACAATCAATGAAAGAAAACTAGTATGCATTGATCTTTCTACGGGCAATCTCTGAAAAATCACTTTTTTTGCCTTTTATAATTTTGGTAGAGGTGTCAAACGAATTAAATTAACTCTAGAAATTTTCTGATCTGAGTGACACACCATAAATTGATAGATTAAGTGAATTAACTTGTTTACGCAAGTTTTATTCTCTGAACTTTGTTCATGTATTGATCAAAATCCTATTTATACCAATACAATAAAGATGTTCACCAATTTAAGAATTTAAGTGATTAGAAGGTGATAATATAAGATTAGTAAGTGAGTTAAATTAACACTGTCACTTAAAAGTCATGTCACTAAATTTTAAAAAAAAAAACTTAACGACAAATACTTAATTTAAAAATATAAATTTATTAAATACTTAATACATCACAAAATTTTATTTTCCAACTTTATGCCATAGTTAAAACATAATTATTGCAATCAATCAAAATATTTGTGTGGAGATCATGTCCAATTTTTACATTTGGGTAACAAATTAGAGTTCTTATTCTTTTAAGTGAGTTTAATTTTGATATGTTTTTTCCTGTAAAATACTTACGGTGTAAAAAACATTACAAATCATTCCACCATCATATTGAAAATTATATTTAAAGTGTTTTTTCATTAATTAATAGTATAATTTTTCACATTAGCAATATATTAAAATTAAACCCTTATTAGAATGGCTATTATAACATTAAATGTTTTGATTATACATCAATCTACAGGTGAATAACAGAATAACTGTTTATACTATCAGTATATTGTAATTAAATTAAAAAAACTTCAACACATTCTTTGACTCTCATATAAAATAAAATTAACACAATCTTTTTTTATTTTTCTAAACTTTCCAAGTGATGACAAATACTTAAGTTTCTGTAATCAATACTTGAAAAATCAACAAAAAACTCGTAGCCTTATATCGAAGCGAAGCGGCAAGCGAACTTAGCAGAGTGGTACTCTCACTCTCAGTCAGTCCAACTCCGACCGACCACAGAAGCATTTCAACAACGTTGTCTACACTACCATGGAATCTGCGCTTACAGCTTCTAACTGGAACCGCTCTTTGATTCGAATCCAAAACACTAGACAACGCTTCCGTGCCACGCGCCCCACTGTAATACGGTGTTCTATCAACTCGTATCGTTTGTCCAAACTCACTCCCTCCGAGCTTCAGAGCCTCAAGAGCCGACCCCGCATCGATTTCTCTTCAATTTTCAGTGTGGTGAGTAATGGGCTTTTCTCTTTCCCTTTCCTTTCAGATGGGTCACGCTCAAAATTTTTCCTTTTCTTGCCCCTTTTCAGGTTAACCCCATTGTCGATGACGTTCACAAAAGGGGGGACGTTGCAGTTAAAGAGTTCGACTCTTCTTCTTTGAATGCCATCTATGATCATGATATTCTTTGTGTGTAGTTTCTTACCTTCTTTGCTTATGTAACTTCACCTATGTGTTTTGTAGGTATACTTCAAAGTTTGACAAAGTTGAACTTGAAAAGATTGTTGAGATTGTCTCGGATCTCCCTGACCCCGTGGTATGTTTGTTTCAATATCCATACCTTGTCAAGGCATGTTTGAATTGAAAAAGAAGTTTTAGTTTTCATTATTTTGCTTTTCCTTTCAATTATAAAAATGTCGCCTTATTGTATTTCTTGTATTCAACTGTTTGTATATGAAATGGTGGAAACACTGTCAACCAATTAGAAATTCTCATGCATGATAAGTTTATTGCGTTTTTGTAAAAACAACTTTAGAACTCTACCTAGATTGGTTGACATTATAAAAATCTCTCTCTGCATAGAAATTGATCTTTAACTATTTTAAATACAAATTTTTGAAAAGAAATGAACTAAGTAAAAATAAAAACCCTCTAAATGCATATAAATTGGTCTTAACTATTTCTTAGTGTTTTGGTTGAAGATGTGCCTCTTATTACTATCCACTTTCTGTTTCGGTGATGTTGGTTTGGGTTCAACTATTATAATGGTTGTTTTGTGCCTTTTCTTTTTCAGCTCGATCCTCCTATTAAGGAAGCTTTTGACGTTGCCTACAACAATATTTATGCATTTCATTCTGCTCAGAAGTCACCTGAGAAAAGTGTTGAAAACATGAAAGTATGTCTATGCTCTTGCTTATAGGCTGGCTAGGTTGGGTGGACGACCAGGGGCTTAATGATTTAAGGCTGCATTGACACTTAGCATAATTAAACTTATTCTTGTGTGTTATTGAGTCAAAATAAGAAATATTTGGTGGTAGAATCTAGTTAATGTAGCTAAGTCTTGCAGCATTATCTAGGAATGGTTAAATAATACTAGTACTGGAAAGATAGAATGGATATAGGATATTTTTCAGTTGTGATTATGTACTTTTTCTGTCCTTTGTAAGTCTCTATCTTTTTATTTTTTTTTTAAATTGTTTTTATGTCACGTCATGTCATTTGATTATTATGCCTACATGTTTATTTGTTCTCGAGTTCTTCTTATTACCCAATTTATGTGAATCTTGAGTTATCTGAAAATCCCAGGGGGTCCAATGCAAAAGAGTTGCAAGAAGTATTAACTCCGTGGGTCTTTATGTTCCAGGGGGAACTGCTGTATTACCTTCAACAGCTTTGATGCTTGCAGTTGTACGTTTAATAATATTTCAGTACCTCTTATGTCTTTCAATATTATATAATTTTTTTATTGTGTACTTGATTTATCTTGCCCGATTTAGCTGATGGTTAATTATTTTGTATACCAGCCTGCACAAATTGCAGGATGTAAAACTATTGTTCTTGCAAATCCTCCAACTCGGGATGGCACTACATGCAAGGTGTTTATCTATTTTGTATGGAAGTTGTAGTTATGATGTTCTTCTTGTTCTGACCAGTGTTTTTCTGCAGGAGGTATTGTATTGTGCAAAGAAGGCCGGGGTAACTCACATTCTCAAAGCTGGAGGAGCACAGGTTCGAAGCATGATAGTATATAAGATAGCATTTATCTGGTTTTGTAATCTGAATCTACTATCGTTATATTTATCTTTATTCTATATGTTTGTATCATTCTTCATAAATTAAACATGATTCATATGCCATTTCTCTTCATTGTAGGCCATATCTGCTATGGCTTGGGGAACAGAAACTTGTCCAAAGGTGGCTAGCCTCTCCTTTAACCAATCTTTGTCGTTTGCTTCTCCATGATAGTTAATGGATTCAACTTTATTTCCTACTATTTGTTTTCTCTGTAATATCAAACTTATCATATCACCCCTTCGTATTTGTTTGATAATTTTAATTTTAATTATGAATGTGGTGAAATTTGCAGGTTGAAAAGATTTTTGGCCCTGGAAACCAATATGTCACTGCTGCAAAAATGATACTTCAAGTAACCATAGTTTTATTATATTACAATATATGATCTATTTTCTCTATTAGATTTCGTTTGTTGAATCTTAAATCTTCTTCATCTCTTTACCTTTTGAAAGTCTTCTGCAGAACAGTGAAGCCATGATTTCCATTGACATGCCGGCTGGTCCATCTGAAGTTTTGGTCATTGCAGACGAGCATGCTGTTCCATCTCATGTAGCAGCTGATTTGCTTTCGCAGGTTCAATAAGTTTTAATAATACCTCCTATTTGTTTTACTTGCAAAACATTGTTCACCAATTCACATTCATTATGAAAATTTGTAATCTTTCTTTGTCATCAGCTTAGAAACAAAAGTCATGTTCTAAAGTAATTTTTACGTTATTCTAAAAGGTTTTATTTCTAGTTTCTACATAATGATAGTTTTCCAAAATTCAATATAGAGTGAATTCATAATACGTGTGACATAGGAAATAATAATTAATTGAAGATTAATCACCATATCTGGAAAACAACCAAATTTATAAACTATGGAGATGGGGTATAGAAGCATTTGTTTGTTTGTTTGTTAAAAATCTGATTATGATTTAGGGCAGTCTTAGTCGCCATTGAAGGTGCAATGAATACACCACACTGGAGTGAACATATTGAACACTTTTCTTCAGTTAAGGTTCATTCTGCAAAAACTTAAAATCGTACATAAACCTTAAACAAGACCCCAAACCTGCTAAAAATCCAGCTCTGATCATAAACAGTATATAAGAAATCAATACGATGTTCAAAGTCTCAAACATGCATGCTTCTCCATCATCCTGCCAAGATATGAGTTGAGGTTGATAAATCATCCCTTGTCGTCTGCATGCATTCTTTTTAGATGATTCGTAACATTTTAAGCTTCTTGTATACTGCCGATGTATATGGTTCTAATTAGAATTTTCAGGCTGAGCATGGTCCAGACAGTCAAGTGGTTCTTGTGATTACTGGAGATGGTGTGGATCTGAATGCAATACAGGAGGAACTCAGCAAGCAGTGCCAGAGTCTTCCTAGAGGCGAGTTTGCCTCTAAAGCTCTGAGCCACAGTTTTATTGTGCATGCACGTGATATGCTTGAGGTCAGTCCTGTTATCTTGTTTC